TGCACAAAAACCTCGATGTAATCCGCCAGGTCGTTTTCGAAATAACCGCATCCTACTAAACCGCGATTTTCCGCGAAACTATATGGAATAACGAAAAAATAAAATATGTCCCACATTAAGAACACATCGGTTCAAATTTGAAATTCTTTCGTCAAATAGTTTTGGAGAAAAAAAATCGCAAAGTAGACAAAGTTGCTGGCACTCTCAAAAATCGGGTACTTTTTTCACTTAACACGCGATATAAGAACCGCGGACCAAAAAATTTCCAAATTACCATGTGATACGCAGAAATGTTCACTGATTTCAATAAACTTTGCCGCAATTTTTTCCATCGAACGGTTACGAAGATATCGATCTCTAAAGTGAGAAGCCTTGACTTTTTGCACGGATAGTAGTATGCAATTGAAAATCTTAAAAGTTTCGAAGTTGTATACCGGGTGTCCCTCAGAAATCGCTCATACCTAAATATTTTTTTTATTATTAGTGATATAAGAAAACCATTTGAAAAGCATACTTAGGCCGTTAAAACGGATTATTACGACATGAAATCACTCTCTTTGTACTTCCGGTTATACCGGATGTGAGTACTAATTTTGCTATTTTTTTAAATCTATAATATTTTTTTTTCAGTTGGGTAGACAGTGGTTTTTTTTAACAATGGTGTAAATTAACAGTTGTATTAAATTAGTTTTCAAAGAAAAACGCCATCCAACAGTTAAATTTAATTCAATTGTAAGTTCAAAAAAACTAATTTTCTAAATTCCCGCCTCGATTTTGACATAATTGTGTCTTGCGTATTGTCGTTTTAAGGACCCGACGTTATTCCTGCGGAGATATTTAGGTAATACAATTTCTAACTCGATTTATTTTCTAATGCCTCACGAGACCTTACTGGTGTATTATACAGCTCATTTTTGATTTTGCCCCATAAAAAGAACCTAAAGGTGTGAGGTCAGGTGATCTTAGAGGTTTTAACCACAATAAAGTAAACAATCCAAATTATATGTACAATGGATATTGTACATTGTAAGTTCCTATCAGCTACAGAACATTTAGTATAAAAAATAATTGAATTAAACTTAATTGTTTGATCGCGTTTTTCTTTTAAAACTAATTTAATACAACTGTTAATTTACACCATTATTAAAAAAGAACCACTGACTAAAGCATAGCAGTGATCACTGCTCAAGAAAGAGCAAATCAAGAGGGACATAGCGTAGTTTATACTATTAAACCTAGCTACTATGCGTCAAAAGTTGTAATACATTTTCCGAAGGTACTAAAACGTTAAAAAATAACGAAAATATTTTTTTTTCAAAAATTATAAGCGGTCGTGAAAATTTTTTCAAGTAAAAGTTATGTGAAATTATACTGTCTACCCAACTGAAGAAAAAAAAATTATAGATTTAAAAAATAGGGAAGTTAGTACTCACTCCGGTATAACCGGAAGTACAAAAAGAATGGTTTCATGTCGTAATAATCCGTTTTAACAGCCTAATTATGCATTCCAAATGGTTCTTATATCACTAATAATAAAAAAAAATATGGGGGTGAGCCACTTTTGAAGGATAGCCAGTATTTCAAAGAAGACTTGAACGAGATATAAAGTGTGCTATATTTTTGGAAAGGAAATTTTATGCTCTCGTTGAATTTGCAAAAATATATAGGGTGTTACATTAAAAAAAATCATTTTTATGTCAGTAAGTACTAAAATATAGCTTTGAGGGAAAGCTAACTTATTTCATCGAATTCTACATGAAAAGTTGCGTAGGAAATGTTTTCACAGAAAGGAAGATTTTTCAATAAGAAAAAAGTTATGACGATTTTTCGAAAATGCACTTTTTTGAAAACATCCTGTATCTCTGAAACCGTAAAAGATATCGATATGCGGTTTGCGCCATTAAGTTTCTTATAAAAAGAGCCTCAGACACTGATAGTTATATGAGTTATAAAGACTTAAGTATTTTAGAAGTTGAGTATTCAGTATTTGAATTGTGTTTCTAACTCAAAAACCGTGATGACTAGAAAAATTCTACGTGCACCATTGGATTCCACGTGAAAAAATCTATTAGAAACCGTTTTTACTTTTTTACTAAGTTTCCGGATAGCCAAGATACAGGAGGTGTCTGAAAATCGTAAATTTCAAACACTCCCTGTATATCAAAAACGAAGAGGGCTATGAAAATTTGGTTTGCGCCATTGTAAGTTTCACAAAAATGTAGCTCAGGTTCGCGAAAGCCGCAACTTTCTATCTTTCATAATAACTGAGATACCCTGCAAACCCATCGAAATTTGGACACCTGTACAGTGTGTTAATTGCAATACGCGATTTGCCATACTGTGATATTGGTTGCATACTTGCAATGATGACGTTGGGTACAATAATTAATTAACACACCGTATATGGTTAGCAGGGTCGATGACGTCACAAAAAGTGACGTCACGTCGAAACTTTAAAGTGACGTTTCGGTAAGTTTTACACTTTTCCGCGCTTTTTTTTTATTTGTAACGTTAAGTTGTAACTTACTTGAGTGATTTTCCGTCGATTAAAAAAGAATTGTCAATCTTTAAGAGACATGATGATTCTTAAATTATACCGTAATTTCTAAAAATTAATTTATTACCCTTTAGATGACCATTTATAACCTTGCGTACTAATCGCCGATTTTGAATAAACCTCTACTTTATCAGCAACCATAAACGCGCTGTAAAATCCAACCCCAAATTGCCCAATAATTTTTTGGGTGTTTTCTCCTGTAGCTGATTTCTTTTTTAAACCTTCAATAAACTGTTTAGATCCAGATCGAGCAATTACACCTAAATTTGATAACATTTCCTCTTTGGTCATTCCTATACCAGTATCTTGAATCGTTAATATTCGTTCTTGTTTATTTGTAGAAATATGAATTTCTAATTTTCGATCAGTATCTTGTAAACCTTCGACAGTCCCAGATAGGCTTAAATATCGAAATTTCTCCAATGCATCGCTTGCGTTTGAGATTAATTCGCGTACGAAAACCTCTTTTTCTGAGTATAACGATTGCGCGACGATGTCCAATAACATTCGCGTTTCAGCTTGAAATTCATGAGTTGATGAAGAGCCAATTGTTTTTTCAGTATCTTTAATGATCGAATGATGTTCAGGATTGGGTTCTGCATTAGCACTGAATAATCTTGCTATTAAATTGGCTAAAATCACAAAATAAATGATTAAAAAATAATTTTCTCAATAGATGGCGCTACTAATCTGTCATTATTTTATTATAAATTATTAATTACATTAAATATTGAGTAAATAAATCAATTTTTAATGATCTCAATAAATATTAAACGATTCTTTATTCATTTTTGATTAAAAAATTTAAAATTAGTAAAACATAACCTACAAAAAATTTACCTTGCGGAGACGCATGTTTCAAGACATTTTGATTTAAGACTCTTCTGTTGGTTTGGCTGAGAGTAAGAGTTCGGCCTAAGCGTAGCAAACGTTGGAAACGTGAAAAACTCGACATTTTGTTGATTATTAACGGAGGTATGAGGAATTTTCTAGAATTAACCTCAATTCGGTGTAGAACCTCACGCCGAAACTAAACGAACTAAACAAAACAAATTGAAGTTAGCTACAATTGTCAAAAAAAATTTTACCCTACGATTATAGCTGGCGCTGCTTTCGTTAATATCAAATTAAAATTAATAATTATTCATAATTTTAACTTAAAAATATTAACATTATAAAATTAAATTAAATAAAATTAATTTAAAGAAAAATAATGATTCATCAAATCTTCCACTTTAAAAATTAATAATTTGCGCTTTTTATTTTTCGGTTATAGATGTCGCTAATGATACATTTATTTAATTGTCAAAAATTATGAAATGTCAGTTATAATTTTCTTAATTGTGAAAAAAAATTAAATATCCTCAAAATAGTAGTATTAAAACACCAAATCAATATATTGAATAATTTTTTTACACTTTTCTTTTAGATAAAGGTGTTAACCTTAAAAGCTCCAGGTGTAAGGATTAAAGAGACTTTTTTCGTCTAAGAAAGAATTTGTATACGAAAGAATGTCTATACGGAAGAATTTGTGCACAAAAGAATCACCACCGTATTCAAAGACTAAGATTGCGCGATTGGCTTTGATCTTATTTCAAGCGTAAGCAAAAATTGCGACAACCACCAACTCTTTCTTTTGCTTACAAGAAAAAAGAAAGGATTTTTAGAAGTTTAAGGGACACAGTAGCAGTGTGAGATTACTAATCCTTTGGTCCGTAACGTTACTGAGCGTGTTAAAAACACCTTTTCAAGTGCGCTCAAGTGGAGGGATGTTTACTACACTAACACCCAGGTTTTTGTCGGGGAATAGAAAGGGTTTTGATGGTTCAGATCAAAACAGTTTTGTGGTAAATCTATTTAAATTTGAATGTAAAAAAGAATCGGTCCGAAAAGAAAAAAAAAAGTTGTGAATATCGACTTCCTCATTTTCAGGGTGCCCAGAGACAGACAGGCGGAGGAGACACACGTGTTCCTTTACGTATGCAACTAAGGACTTGTTGAAGCAGGTCGGGAACTCGTGTGGCGTCGCACGGTTTTACTTTCAAGGTTGAAATTTTATTCTTTTATTTAAAACTACAAAAATCGTCATTTTAATTTTTGTTTTTAGTTTTTGGAATTTATCCTTCACGTGTTTAACCCTCTTTCAAGTGTGCGACCCAAAAAGCCACACACCGGAAACCCACATGTGACCTTTCCTCTTCCTTTTCCCTTCGTGCGTCTTGAAGATTCGAAGAAACGGGAATTTCTTTACGGTATAAACCTGGACTCAAGACATAAATCTATCATCCGGTAGCTGCCAGGGTTTCACGTAACATAAACGTTAAATAAGAAGGAGTTTTTGGACACTTTACGAGCGCTTTTGTTGGGCGTCCTTTAGAAATTTCAGTTCAGGTCACATTCGCAAAACCCCTTTCACTTCTTTTCTGACGGCAGAGATCCACCCGAAGTGTCCAAAAATCGTTTACCAAAGTAAACTTTGCGTTAATGATGTAAGACATCCTACTATAGAATTCCGTTTGGGATATTAATGATAGTTTTCGATGGTTTTGTAATAACAACAAAGGTTAAATTCGATGGAAAAACGGCGATTCTTAGAAGGCACACGTGTTTTTACACTTTTAAGAGATATCTTGTTCTTGTTTTGTCTCCTTTTTTTGTGGGGTATTGAGGCCAGGGTTATTTCAACTTTTTGCAAAATATTCAAAAATGTTATTTTTGAGACATTTCTCAATGGGGGGGCTAAAACAAGCGTATCTGAAAGGTCTTGTTCTCGGCAGGTTGGAGTTGCGTAACAATAAAAAAAAACTTTAGTCCCTTTTGCGAATAACCGGCATAAATCTGTCTTGGTTCAAAAGACACTGGAATTTGCGTGCCGAGTTAACGGTAAATATTTTTAAGAACAATCGATCTAGTTGAATGTTTTGAATGTGTCGTTTTTACTTTGGAAAGAGGAAGTAAGAAAAAAGAGGGGTAGAAAGTGATGAATATCATCAAATAAATGAAGCAGCTGCAACTATGAGAAAAAAAAATCCATTATAATCGTAAATATATGCAACTTTGCGCAAAATCGTATTCGAATGAGTATCGGTTTCGTCGAAAAACGATTTTTGTGCAGATCTGTACCCCCTTTGATAATAGGGTGAGAAGGGCTTTTGTGAAGAGTTTCTATAGGAAGTCCGGTTTTAACCGATTTTTGCATTTTCAAATTTTTGATGTATTTTCATTGATATTAACAGGAGAATTTGTTGTTTTTATCCTTTAAGGATGGATTTAGAATAAAGGGGTTGGTGAAAGTGGTCCTTTTGTGGACGTATAAAGGGTTGTAATAGTTCCTATTTTACGGTAGTTAACCCCGACCGAAAAGGCCTGTTGGTAATTGGCCCGTTATGTACCTACCCCTTTTTTCGTCAAAGGATAAACCCTGCTGTGGGTTATAAATAGATAAATAGTGGTTTCTATTTATTTATTATCTTTTTATTTAACTTTTTGTTATGTTTTTATTGGAGGAGTAAAGGAAGGAGAATATAAATAAATATTTATTGCGTCATGATTTTTTTTAGATAACGAGTGGAGTCTTGTTGGAAGATTCAATTGGTATTTCTAAAATGGTTAAATCTAAAACAGCCTTCAGAATTAAAAGAAGAGAAGACCATGAACTTGTAAGTCCTATAGCAACCTTTCTGGAATGTATCCCTCGTGTAAGAAGCAAAATCTGAGCTTTTGTTGTTGTTGGAAATTGCGCAGACTCAATCTACCCTATGTATGTATACAATTCCGTTTTTTTGTCAACTAAAACTAAATCTTTAATCGTAGCAGATGAAGACTGATGACGACAAGACTCGGAACAGAATCATTTATATCATTGTTAATAATACCAAAAATTATAAGATATATACCGTTAATTTCATATAACTCGCAATACAGGGTGACTGGTACATAAACGTGAATATTGAAATACGTTGTTCTAGAGCTCATTTGTAATTGATTAAGCCAAATATGCCTTATACAAAGCTGAATAGGTTAGGAGTTATTTCAATTTTTTGTTTTTTTGTACAAGTTCAGTACATACTCTTACAAATCTTGAAATTTAGAGAGTAATAATAGTTTCTTTGGCAATGTATTGACTTCTCTGGATAGATTACACTCTAATATACATTTTAAGTTGAAAAACAATTTAAATATTTCGATGCTTTAAAAATATAGGGTGTGAAATATTCGATTTTTAAGTTAATTTTTAAATAATGTGTTCATTTACGAGCGTTTATTTCAAAATTTTGATAATACATTTAGCGTACCAATTATTGTAAAAACTTCTCTGTTTTCTTACATTTCAAATAAGGTATTAAGCATGGCAAAATGTCTTTCTAATTACCCAATAATAAGATAACAAGTGGCGCGAATACAATTTTGACAACCTACCCAAAGTTAATAAAAGTCAAAATCGATTACACCCACTATTTATTGTTGCTTATTGGAACTAAAACATAACGTTAATTCAGACAACCATAAAAAATTAAGCAACTAACATTAAAAAAAAAATTAACACAATCATGTGACATAACTTCTAACTCTAACTCAAAAAAACTCAGCGCGAAACACAATTTGCAATAAGGAACCAACTGGAAAAAACCTTACCGTCAAGAGGGGGTCCAATTACAAGTCTGCTTCAAAAACTGCACCTTTATTCCTAATACATGTTTGAGCCCTTTTTCTTATTTCCGACCTTGTTATTTTATTTGTAATAGTAGTTCTTAAAACATTTGCTTCATTTTGGATTCTCTCTATTAATTCATCCCTAGTATTGAAATTGTTTAACCGATGGTTGTTAACCATTAATAAATTGAATTTCAACCGCAGGTGTAATCGATTTTGAATTTTATTCACATTGAGTAGGTTGTCAAAATTGTGCTCGCACCAATTGTTATCTTATTATTGGCTAATTGGAAAGACATTTTGCCATGCTTCATACCTCATTCGAAAGGTAACAAAACAGAGAAGTTTTTACAATAATTTGTATGCTGAATGTATCATCGAAATTTTGAAATAGACGCTCATGAATAAACACTTTGTTTGAAAATTAACTTAAAAACCGAATATTTCACTTCCTGTATTTTTAAACCATCGAAATATTTACAGTATTTCTTGACTTTAAATGTGTATTAGGATGTAATCTATCCAGAGAAGTCGATACATTGCCAAAGAAACTATTATTACTCTCTAAATTTCAAGATTTGTAAGNCCGTACATCTCTTAAGACGGCTAAACCCGAATGATGTTAGTTCCCGTCTTGTGTTAGTTCTAGTGATAGTGCTAGTGTAAAACTAGAACTAACACTAGACCTAGAACTAACATCTTGAGAGACGTACGGCTAAACTCGAATGTTTCTAGTTCTAGGTCTAGTGTTAGTTCTAGTTTTAGTTCAATAAAAATATGTAACGCGTCTAGGAATAAAATAAGAATAATAAAATAATAAATAAATAGGAATTCTAACATAGGAATATTTTATGCTTAAATTATATTGACATGTTGCATTTTATGTGGGACAAAGTAAATAGGTACGCCCTGGTTTCTATGGAAATATATTTTTGTATATTGCATATTAAGTGAAATATAAATGCATCTATAACACGAGAAATTACCAGAAAAAAGAAAATTGCTAACGAATTAATATAATTTCAAATCTCGTAATAGATGATAAAAAAAAATCGAGAATAGAAAGGTAATAGGAAATGTTAACACAATACAAAAGTCATTAAATATCTCTTAAAGCGTTGAAAACTAAACCCATATGGTGTTCGAGAAGTTATTTTCGATCGGTTTCTCTTAACTAAAAAGCAAAACTGACCATCGCTAATGGTAAATTTCGCACTACGGGTCAGTAAACCCGGAAAAAAAATAGTTTTTCCCAAGGAACTTGAAGGAAGAAGAAATTTTTCGACTATTTTAGATCATTTTTTATCTCCAACAAAAAAATACCTACACCCACCGTGAAATTCGATCATTGTGCGATTTTAAATGATTTTTTGCCCAATTCCTGTAGATGA